GCCCCCCCAGCCCTGAGCACCCCCCACCCGCAGTGCCTCAATGTGACGCAGCTGCTGCTGAACTTCGGCTTGGACGCGGCCTCGCAGCTCACCCCGCAGCAGTTCACGCTGCTCTGCCCCGCGCTGCTCTACCAGATCGACAGCCGCGTCTGCATCCACCACCGTGACGAGGTGACGTGGTCCCCACCGGGGGGGGCCCTGTGGCCAGGTAACCCCAACCTGTGTCCCCAGCGCTGAGCTGCTCGTCCCCGAGTCCCCCTTGCCTCCATCCCCACGCACAAGCTGCCTGTCCCCCAGTCCCCACCCCTTGGTCCCCATCCTCCCATCCCCATCGCCCCCCATCCCCAATCCCACATCCCCATCCCACAGCCCCACCCCGGGTCCCCACCTCCCTTCAGCCCCCTCCTCTGCTCCTCCACCCCACAGCCCCGCATCCCCACCTCCACGTCCCTGGTCCCGACGTCCCCATCCTCACCCCACCCCCTCGCAGCTCTGGGTTGGGCTCTGCTGGCCGTCGCCTTCATCAGCGTTCCATCGGCCGTGGCCGTGGCCGTGGTGCCGCTGCTGAGCCTCGGGCAGCTCCGCGCTCTGCTCTCCTTCCTGGTGGCGCTGGCGGTGGGGACGCTCTGCGGGGACGCCCTGCTGCACCTCTGGCCCCACGTAGGTACCCCCAGGGCAGCGGGGCGGGCGGCACGGAGCGGCACGGCCCTGAGCCCCCAACCCACCGCAGGCTCAGGGGCAGCACCAGGAGCCGCCGGCGGTGCTGCGGGCGGTGCTGCAGGGCCTGGCGGTGCTGGGGGGAATCTACGCGCTGCTGCTGCTGGAGCTGCTGCTGGGAATGCTGCGCCGTCGCCGTGCCACCACGGTGGGAACCGCGGGCACCGGGAGGGCGCGGGGGCACCGCTGAGTCCCGCTGTGCCCACCGGCTCTGCTCTCCTCCCAGCCCCATCCCCACGGAGAGACCTCCGAGGCGGCCACGGGGGTCCCGGCCGCGCTGCCAGGCGGTAAGACCCCCCCCCACCCCCCGGCGCCGTCGCACCGACATCGTCGCACCTCGTGCGCCCCTCTCCACCCGCAGGCGCCGAGCTGCGCTGTCTGACGGCCCCGGAGGTGGAGGCGGAACCCGAGGGCCCCCCCGGGCCCCACCACGGACACTCCCACGGCCCCGCTTTGCCCCCCAACCCCGCGGCCGCTGATCTGGCGTGGATGGTGGTGCTGGGAGACGGCATCCACAACCTGACCGACGGGCTGGCCATCGGTGGGCAGCGGGGGGGTGCGGGTGGTGGCAGGGCGGGCACGAGGGGATGAGGACGCACGGGAGGTGCGAAGAGGCGAAGGGACGGGAGCACGGGGGCAGGGCTGCGCGGAGGGATGCGAAACGCGGTGGGGACGCGGGGCTGAGCGCTCCGACACGGAGGTCCCCTCTTCCCGCAGGCGTTGCCTTCTCCCACAGCCTCCCCAGCGGCCTCAGCACCGCGCTGGCAGTGCTGTGCCACGAGCTGCCCCACGAGCTGGGTAAGGGCTCAGCCCCCCCCCGCCCCCCGCCCCCCCCCCGGACCCCTCACCCCACACCCACCCTCCTCTCCCCGCAGGTGACCTCGCGGTGCTGCTGCAGGCAGGCACGGCGCCCCGCACCCTCCTGCTGCTCAACCTGCTCTCGGCGCTGCTCTCCTGCCTGGGGGCGGCCGTGGGGGCGGCCGTGGGGCAGAACGCGGCCCATCTCACCCCGTGGATCCTCACCGCCACCGCCGGCACCTTCCTGTACGTGGCTCTGGCTGACATGGTAAGGGCCGGCGGGGCTGGGGGCGGGGGGCCTGAGCTGCGCCCCACTGAGCCCCCGCTCTGCCCCAGCTCCCCGAGGTGCTGCGGGGTCCCGGCGGGGGGACGTGGGGCCGCTTCGTGCTGCAGAACGCGGGCTTCCTGCTGGGCAGCGGCATCATGCTGGGCATCGCGTTGGCCGAGGGCCACCTCAGCGCCTGGCTGCAGCCCTGAGGGGGCGGCGCCCGTGAGCCCCCGCCCCGATGGCCGCTGGGACCCCCAAAACCCAGCCCCGGGTTCGGACTTTCTCCCCTCCTCGTGGGACCCCTCTGCCAACCCAGATGAAATGCAGCCAACCGCGGGGGCTCCGTGGGTCGCAGCTGCCAGACCCCGACTCCGCGTCCCCGTGGAAGGGGGGGGGGGGGGGGCAGCAGGATGACGCTGGGCCCCCACCCCTCTTTGGTGGCGCTGCAGAGCTCCGGGTCTGGCAGCGCCGGTGCCGGAAGGAACGCGATGCCCTGCCTGAGAAAGGACAGCAGAAGAGGCGTAGAAGCAATAGCATTTAATAAACATACTCGATTCAAAGCCACAATATGAATAACAGGACTTGGTCGCAGCTTACATTGTATAAAATAGATCAAGTCTGAATGCGTTTTATTTTATTCCTTTTTTTCCCCCCCCCCTTTTTTTCGTTATTTTTTTTTTTCTGCTGTGGTTCCTTTACTCCCTCCCTCCCCCCATCCCTCCCCCAAAGGTGATGCATCCATGGGACATCTGAGACGAAAGGAACTGCTCACAATGCTCAGCACGGGGACGGGGCCGTGGGGCGGTGTGGGGCACAGCTCTGTGCTCTTCCTACAGCCGGGGGGGTGAAAACGGAACCGGGTCGGGGCTCTCGGGACAGGACAACGCTTTGGGGCACGGCTCACAGCGACGGCCCCGGGGGGTCGGGGGTCACTGGTGGTTCGTTTACTGCTTGTAAATTGCACATCAAAGCGCCCCGCTGGGGGACGAGGAGCTGAACCCGGAGGCAGCGCTGCGTTGTGCTTGGAACCGGCGGCGGGGGAAGGAGCCGCTGCACCCCCAGCAGCGCCCACATCTCCCCCCCCCCCCCCCCCCACGGAGGTGGGCGCACAGCGGTCAGCGCGGGGCCCCTCCGGTGCCAATGGGGCAACGGTGGGGCGGCGGTGGGGCCCGGAGCGGAGCTGCCGCCGTCCGGTTGTCACAAGAGGTAGTGAGAACAGTGCAGAAAGGACGCAGCTCAAGGCGCTCCGTTCCCAACCGCTTTGCTGACGCTCCCCAGCCCCACAGATCGGCACCGGGGTGCAGCTGAGGTGGGGAGGGGGTGTGGGGTCACCCCATGGGGCTCGGCCCACTCCGGGCTTCAGTAAAGTGCTGCCGGCGCTGGGCTGGGGGAGGCGGGACCCCCCGGGAGCGCCAGGCTGAGCTGCGTGCAGCCCCCCCAGGGCTCTATTGCTTTGGGGAATGGGGGGCTGCACACCCACTCCCCCCATTTGGCACCGCTGCGCCGCGAGGCTCCGAAACGCCCCCAGAGCTCTGAGCAACGAGAAGGGGAGCGAAGCTTCCTCAGCGCCGAGGAGGGCGAGGAAAGGGCAGAACCTTCCAGGTTCCCCTAAAGGACTCCGGAAGAGACTCAGGGCATCAGAGCTCCCAGGACACGCCATGCCCGTGGCTGCACAGACCCCAAACGGCTCCGACCCCGTCCCAAACCTCCCCCGGCGCTGTAGTGCAAAACTCAGGAATGGAACGATGCCATCAGCAGCGAGACGCCCAGCCCAGCTGCAATCCTGCTGCCTACGGACGGCACGACCCCACACTGCTCACACCGACCCTAAGGGCACCGGGACCCCAAAAGGCACTCACACCAGCCCTAGGACAGGGCAACTCCAGACGGCGCTCACACTGACTCCAAGGGCAGCGGGACCCCAAACTGCACTCACACTGAGCCTACGGATGCTGGGACCCCAAATGGAGCTCACACCGCCTCTGTGAACAGTGAGACCCCAAAATGTGCTCACACCGACCCTAAGGGCAGCAGGACCCCCAAAACCGATGCTCACACAGACGCTAAGGGCGGCGGGACCCCAATCGGCGCTCACTGACCCGGCCGGAGCCCAGCCCATGTCCCAGCCAAAGGATGGACAGACGGATGGACGGACAGCGGCTCAGCAGCACAGGGCAGTGGTGGGGGCAGAGCGCAGCAGTTCACCCTCTGGCTCCCATTTCCTGCAGCGCTGGGTGAGAAAGGGGAGAGGAGAGGAGAGGAGAGGAGAGGAGAGGAGAGGAGAGGAGAGGAGAGGAGAGGAGAGGAGAGGAGAGGAGCCAAACCCCGTGGCTGCCCCACGCGCGGCTCAGCCAGGCCACAGCTTTCCATGCGATCACTTTATTGTCTCAAGACGAACAAGGGCAGTGGGACGGGATCAGTAAGGCCACGTTCCTCTCACCATTTCTTTTCCTCCTTCGCATGGAACGAGCGCAGCCGGCGCCCCGGCCCCATGCGCACACGGGGAACACGGGGACGCAGAGCAGCCGCTGCGCCCGCCTGCCGGTGAGGTCTGTCCTACTGCGTTCACAGACACGTTTATGTGCATGAGGTGCGGAGGGGCAGCATTCACACACAGGACGTGGTGAGCACACACAGCTTGCGGCGGATGCCTTCCAGTCCTCGCAGACGCGGCCCCCCCCCGCCGCCCCGGAGCTCCGCGCTACGAACCCGAAAAAGCGCCGCTGGGAGAAGAGGTGCCGACAGCTCCTGGATCCTTGGAGAGAAAGGAAGAAAGAAACGAACAGGAAAGCAAAAGAAAAGAGGAAAAGAAAGGGAGAAAAAGCCAACTACCCCGAAGCGAACAACGCACGCGTGTTCCGAATGGAAAGGGGGGTTTTGTCCTTTGGTTTCTTACGAAGGCGAAGTGGGGCGCGCTCTGCACGGCTCTGTGGTCCCTATGGGGGCAGCGGGGGGACGCAGCCCCGGCACAAAACGAACCACAAAGGTTTCTGGGCTCTCTGCTTTGCTCCTCGCTTTGGCCTTTGCTCTGTGCTGCGGCGCTCAGAACCCGGCGTCGTTCCTGCGGAGTTTTTTTTCCTATTTTTATCTTTTTTTTTTTTATCTTTTTTTTTTTTTTTTGAGCTTTCGCTCTGTTTTCAGTGCTGCTTTCGGACCTGTCAGCCTCAGCCCCGGGTCGGCGGGGCCGGAAATGAGCGGCGCTTTGGGCTGGGGAGCGGAGGGGGGGGGGCAGGGACGGGGCCTCGCATCTCCCGCAGGAAACGAATCGCCTGCGGTCGGGAGCAGCAAGGAGGAAACGCAGCGAGCGCCTCCTCAGCGCCGCTGGTGGTCGGGGGCTGCGGGGGGCGTCAGGAGGAGCCGTGGGCCGCCTTACATTCAGTGTTTGTCAGCAGTTTTATGGCTCAGGCGGGCGCGCGGCCCGCGGCTCTGGCAATGGCAGTGCAAATACACCTTTCCCACTTGAAATGTATTTGTGCTGTTTTCTCTTTTTTTTTTTTCTATTTTTTTTTTTCCTTTTTTTTTTCCCCTCTCTCTCTCTCTCTCTCTCTCTCATAACACAGCTTCCCTTTCTTCATTCGTTCCCTGGAAACAAAACTCTTTCCTTTTTTTCTTTCTCTTTTTTTCAAGTTAAAAAAAATCAAAGACTAAAAACAGAACGAAACCCAGCGCCGCTCTCGCCATCCCTTCCTTCGCTGCTCTGCACCCTGCAGGACGCCCAAGGCCTCACGCTTTCACAAAGTGCTTATTCCTTGAAGCAAGTGCTTTGGGCCGGGGGGCGGAGAGAAACTTCCTGTCCTTTTGGGGGCCGTTTGTCCCACACCCCACAGCTCTGGGGGGCCGAGGAGCCGCCGCTCGGCGAGCTCTGCACCAAACGTTGCCGCAGGAACGCGAAGCAGGAATGGTCCGACTTTGGCATGGAGGCGGCGGCGGAAGCTTCCCTCCGTCCCTCTTACAATGCACTGGGAAACCACCACGAATCTCGTTGAGCAAAAGAACGCGTTATCACCGAACACTTGGATTATTACTGAAATCGTCAAGCTGTGCTGTCGGATGAATGCGATACAGCGTTAAAGGAGAACAAGACTGGAGCTGCGGGGAACGCGGCCGCGCTTCCCCCCCATCGCCCCCAGCCCCCGACCGCGGCCGCGCTGCTGAAACCTCGCTTCACTCCACTGTCGTTATTATTATTATCGTCGTTATTAATAATAAGACACGAGGGGAGAAAAACCTCCTCGCCAAGAGCAAGGGACGCGTCCACACAAAGCTGCAGGGAGGAAACGAGAAGCCCTTACGAGGTCGCTTTGATTGTCTCATCGTCCCGTCGTCGCGTTGAGCGACAACGCGCAGCGCGGACAGAAGGCAAAAGGGGCCGGGGTTGGAAAAAGGAACCGAAAAGCGCAACCGAAATACCGAAAACAATCAAAAGGAGAGAAGGAAAAGCAGCTCTGTGTGCTCTAAGGAATTCTCTCGTCCCGGATGCAGCAGAAGCCGTGACGGACCGACCGCCAGCAGCCCAGGCCGCGGGGCTCCGGACCCCATCTCCCAGCGCAGGGAAAGGAGCCGGGAGATGAGGGACGCGGCAGCCATGTAAACAAATCTCTTTTTTTTTTTTCCAGTTCTCCTCTGCAGAATACTGAAAAGGATCTTCAGAAAGGACCTTTCGATTCAAGTTTCGTGAGCTCTGGTTCCCCATGAGGTATTCGGCGCAGGAAGGCCAGCGGGAGGAGGGGGTGAGCGGGGAGCCCGGGGGGGGGGGGGGGGGCAGGGAGCCGAGCAGCACCGCCGGGGAGCAGCGGGCACCGAGCCGCAGAGCTCCTGGGACACAAAGCGCTCGCAGCCGGCGGCCGCTGCTCCCCTTTGGTTCTGAGGGCTTTGGTAAAAGAGAGCCGCAGCGCGACGGGCGCCGCCTGCGCTGCCCAGGGCCGGCCTGCGCCAGCGCCACGGAGCGGCTCCAGCAGCAGCGGGGAACGACGCCGATTTGGTTACAGAAACGCCTGCCTTCCTGTGCTGTGCAGAACCGGGAGGCAGCGCAGGACACGGAGGGGTGGCTGGGAGGAGCGGGAGCCGAGCGGCCAGAAAGCGGCTGAGAGCAGGACGTGAGCGGGACAGGAGCAGAGCACAGCCAGCTGTGAGCGGGATGCGAGCAGCCCCGAATCCGACACGAGCAGAATCCAAGCAGGCCACAAACAGCCATGAGCCGACATGGGAGGCCACCAGCAGGAACAAGCGGGCTGCAAGAGAGCCCTGAGCGCACCAAGAACAGGATGCAAGCAGGAGCCAAACCATGCCACGAGCTGCCGTAGCTGCGAATGTGCCACGACAGGAACCAAAGCAGCCGCAACAGCCATGAGCAGAGCGCAGGCAGGACGCAGCAGCACCAAGCTGTGGCTCCCAGCCCTGCTCTCGCCCCCAGGTGCCCCCAGCCCAGGCCAGAGCCAAAGCCAGCAGCAGCATGGACCGCAGGCCGCCCCCCGCAGCCCCCCCCCTTGGCTCCCCGCTCTTTGGCATCGCAGCCTCGCCATGCGGAGCACGGGGCGCCGGCTCTGCGCCTGCTGCTGTTACAGTAATTCGGAAAGAAAAAAACAAAACGGAACAAAAAAACCCAGCAGTGCAACGTTTCTCGAATGCTTCAAACCTGCCTTATAAATACGATCTCTGAGATCAGAAAAGAAAACCCGACACAACAAAAAAAGCCAATGATCTGACAAAGGCGCGAGCCACTAAAACCTGCGAGCTGCGGTAGAAAAATAAATACAGACCTATCGGGGGTGTGAATAAGGACGCTGAAGTGCATTTTCTTCCTTATTTAAAGGCTGAAGGTTTCAGACTTTTTTTGGATTTTTGTTGGTTTTTTCAAGGTAAATGCTTGTTTCTTTATAAATAACCTTTTTTCTAACAAAAAGCAACACTGACTCTGGCACGGCAGCAGCCACGCGACACGGAGAACAAAAACTCTCTTAGGATCCGACATCTTGTCAAGAGGAAAAAACAAAACCAAAAACAAACCAGAAACGGAAAACCAACAGAATCCCTAAAGTGCCTGGCGTGGGGAGCGAGGTTCCAGCAGCGCCCGCAGACCGCGGCGTCGGGCAGCAGCGCCCGCTTTTGCATAAAAATGACAGCTGCCAAAAGGGTGTTTTAGTGTCCCAGGTACAGTAGATCTCGATTCAAGTGTCTGTATTGGAATCGGAGGATGAGCACGAGAGAAAAGCGACTCAGGGAGGAGCGTTACAGCGGCACCTGGCCAGGAGCGAGCGCCCGCCCCAGCGGCTGCACGGCACCCGGCCCCAAAGCACACCAAGAGTTCAGGCTTCCCCGTCCCAGTGGAACCGATTCGATCCGCCCCAAAAGCGGGAGCCAAATTCTCTTCCCACCAGCAGCCCCGGGGTCAGATGGTCCCCATCAGCCGCTTGGTTTTGTTTCTAATTGAGTTTTTCTCGTTTGGGTTCTGTGGCCGCGCAGCCCAGGAGGTGCTGGGTGCCACACAAGGGGGCTCAGGGCAGCCCTGCTCCAGCAGCAGCGCGCCGCCGCTCAGCAAGAAGAAGCGTTGAACTCTTGGTGTGCGCGGCCGCGCTAGAAGGCCCGCCCAGTCTTGTTCTCCTTTAAAGTGCCCTATATTTATAGAATTTCTAAATAAATATAATAAGATATTAGGTCACCCATAGTTTAAGCTACTCCGAGTAACAGCCGTCCAAGCCGATGGCGCCGTGCCGGTCCTTGCCGTAGGGGCAGGAGCTGCCGTTGGGCAGCGCCCCGCAGGCCGCGGTTTTGGCTGCGATGCCGCAGTTCTTGAGGAGGTTGAAGCTGAAAGAGCTGATGGCGTCTTTAGGTGGGAAAGGCTTCATGGTGGAGAGGATAAGTGCCAGGCAGTCGGCAACGTCCTTGTTGGGGGCGCACGCCAAGGCTGGGGTGTGACCTGGGACAGAGCCGGAGGTGAAGGGGCTGCTGCCAGGACCCCCGGCACGGCCAAAGGGAGGAAGGGGCAGGGAAAGTCTCTCGCCTTCCGGCTCCGCGTCACCCTGCGCCCGGCAAGGGGCAGCTTTCATCCCGTCCTATCTCAAAGGACCCTGCTCCTGGCCACCAGCGGTCCCTGCCCTGCTTTGAAGCGTGCTGGGATCAGCGGGAGGTGAGCTACAAAGCCTCAGAGCCCTGGCAGCGGGGCAGCACTACTGGTATTTTTCACAACCTGAAGGTGTTCCAGCAGAGCAAAAACTGCTGGGATGAACAGCTTCTGGTGGCAGCAGCCAGCTTCTGCCAACTTGCAAGCGAGTCACCGGCTTATCAGCGGCTCAGGCTGGCACCTGGGCAAGCGAGCCCAGGAGACACACGAGATAAAAAGCCCAGACGATGCATGAGGTTAAGACACACATGTCTGAAAGCCCCCGGGACAGGGAATGCCTCCGCAGGGGCGGCAGGGGGTCAGCATCGTCACGCTGACCGAGCGCACGCAGCTCAGACGCAGAAGTGGGAAATCCCAGCCCACCGCCTCCCCGCGCCGCCCCGGAGCCCCGCGCGGCCCTGAGCAACACGCACCTTCTTCATCCACAGCCAGCACGGTGGCACCTCTGCTGAGCAGGGCCTGGACAACGGCGGCCAGCCCGTTCCGTGCAGCGATGTGGAGCGGCCTGCGGAGGGGAGGCAGCGCTCAGGGGCAGGCAATGCAGCCACAGGGCCCTGGGGTGGCAGGGCTGCCCTCCCCCAGCATTGCACGTGTTGGAATCAGCGCAGGCATCGGGGCTGATGCTCACGGCGCGCACCAAACGTGTGCACCGCCTTCCGCCATCCTCTTTTCTCTCTCTCCTCTCACCCAGGCCTCACCACCCCCCCGGAAAGCCCTGATTTCCACCCCCCACCTCGCGGTGCCAGCTGTCCAAATACTCACATCTGCAGAGCACTGTTACTTGCATTGATAAGGCCAAGGTCTTGGGTTTCCCCCAGGATCAACAAGGCACACTTTTCATGACCCTGTAAAGGAGAATGAACTGCTTGTAGCACACAGGCAGCAAGACGGGAGCTGGGTGCTGCCAAAGCTCAAAGCAATTCCCTGGGATTCAGAGACACCCCCAAACACATCCTTATGGAATGGCTCACCACTCCAGAAGGGTCTGCAAAGAGAGCTGATGTTTCCTACACTCCCTTCCCTGCAGTGCCCCTGGGCTCCGGCTCCCTACCTTGCTGCAGGCCAGGTGAAGAGCTGTGTTCTTGTTGACATCCAGCACAGTTATATTTGCTTTTGCTTGGTACATCAGGAACTCTGAAATGAGGAGGGACAGCTGTCACGAGAAAGCGAAGCTCAGACCACGGCAGCGGGAGCAGCAGCCACACGCTGAGGGGCAGCAGAGGCACAGCCTGGCTCCAAAGGACCCCAGAGGAGGCAGAGGGGCCTCGCAGCCCATGCTGGGGAAAGCAGCTGCGTCGGTGGGGCCGACAGCCCCAAGAGAAGCTGAAAGCACTGCAGCCCCCGAGCAGCGAACGCCTCCGTGCCCCCAGGGAGTCCCAGGCTGCCGCAGGACACAGACGGCGTGGTGGCAGCCCCCTGCCGACCAGCTGTGCCTGGGGAAGGGGCGGCTGCTGCTCACGTACCAACGGCTGCGGTGTGCCCGTTCTCAGAGGCCATCATGAGGGGAGTCCTCCCCAGCTTGTCAGTCGTGTCCACCTCGGCTTGGTGGCGCAGAAGCAGCTGTAAACCATGGATGTTGTCTGCAAAGGCAGCAGCGTGAAGGGGTGTCCTGGGAAGAGGAGAGCTCAGGTAAAGAGAAGGGCACAGAAAGCACCGCAGCAAGACTGCCTGGGCCTGGAGACACGCCTGGGGACATCAGAGCTGGAACTCAACCATCTTAACGGCCCCTCTTCCAACCCAAACCATTCCACGATTCCACGATTTCAGGACAGGGGAGACGCAGAAGCAGCAGAATTGCTTTTCTGCACTGCGTGCAGCCATTCCCTCCCACAGCCACCCCAACAGGCTTCTAAGACAGGTCAGGTAGCGCTGCTGCCACTCTCCTGGTGGGAACCAGCAAGAAGAGCTGCAGGAGTCACAGCCACCACTCAGCAGCACCACAGAGAGCAACACCTGCGCTCACCTTCCTTTGGCATCTCTGCTATTAACAATCTTGGCACCTAATGCTTCCACCAGCATTTCAGCAGTGCTGTCCTGGTTGTTAATTCTGCAGTGGGGACAAGAAGGAAAGTTAGAACAAGACTCAGCAGCATTAGCATGGCTGCAATTGCAATGAGGAGCGGGCTCCCGAGGCTCGAGAGCCATCGGCAGCTGGTCTGGAGTTGCTCAGAGTAAAACACCCTTTCTCTTTTTTGACGGCAGCCAAGGAGGCACAACACCATGTCACAGAACTGCTTTGCTCATCCCTCTGCTGTCAGCTTTCCAGGGGCTGACCCTCTCACCTCGGCAGCCCCACCAAGCTGGCACGTGGACCTCCTGCATGCCAGCCCTGGCTGCGCTGCACACAGCCAACAGACAGATGCCCTGCAGCTCCTAGAGGCCCTCCCACGGTCTGGCAGCCACCTCTCTGCCGGAGGGGAGCTGGGACAAAAGGGCTGTGTAACCCTGAGCTGTTACTGCCACCCGGAGAGAAGCCCTTGGCAAGCAGGACAGCTTTGGAGCTCCATCTGCAGGCTCCAGCCTGCTCTGGCCCTGCACCCCTCTCCCACGTCACCTGGTGAGAACCCAGGGCAGCCCCGACACCACTTACACTGCACAGTGCAATGGAGTAAAGGGGTTTCCTTCTAAGTATGCAAACGGATTGTGTTCAAGTAACAATTCAAGACAATCTTCATGCCCTGTGAGGGGAGAGAGACATAAGGCAGTCAGCACCCAGCCAGAGCAGAGGTGGGATGGCGCCCAGCCCCGGCTCTCACCGCTGTACGAAGCCCAGTGCATTGGTGAGTAACCGCTGTAGTCCACCACAGAGTCCAGGGGGTCAGTAGAGAGGGCTGCCTGCAGCAAGGTCCTCAGGATTTCTAAGTGCCCACACGCCGATGCAAAGTGGATCGGGGTCCGGCCTTTGAAATCCCGACACAGAACGAAGGCATCGTGGTCCAGCAGAGCAGCCAGGCAGTCCTCGCAGCCCGTTACAGCCTGTGCCAGAAGAGAGGACGAGGTCAGAGGAATCGGGCTACTTCACTGAGGACTCCTGTGGCAACAGGAGCCCCTCGCTTGTCCTCCGAGCAGCCCCACGCAGGAGGCATCAGAGCAGAAGCTGCAGGGCTCCAGGCGCCCCAGAGATGCACTCACCCCCCGATGCAGGGCGGTCCTTCCTCTCTTGTCGGCTGCGTCAGCTGTGGATCCCTTCTCCAGGAGGAGGTGGACGCAGTCGACGTGGCCGTTCATGATCGCCAGCATCAGTGGGGTTCTGTGGGGAGGAGGGGGCTTGGCACCGCGCTGCGCTCAGGCGCTGCCCCCAGGCCTGACCACCACCCTGAGACGCAGCCCCAGAGAAAGGCGCAGGCAAACTCACTGGCCGTGGATGTCCATGACATCGGTGATGTCTGCCCGCTCCCCGCTGTCTATCAGGAGGTGCAGGGAATCAGTGTTCCCGTTGGCAGCTGCAGACAGCAGAGGAAAGGCGTCACAAACCCGCACCAACGAGTCCCTCCTTCCAGCTGCCACCACAGCCAAAGGTGCAGACTCGTGCTCAGCAGCCGGGCACACGTGGCTGAGCAAACTCATTACAGGGTTGCTAGGCTACAGGGCCAACAGCACACGCACAGGCTGAGCTGGAAACACGTGTGTGCAGAAGCCGCTGGTGTCCTCTCCCAGCTTGCTGCCGGGCAACCGGGCCCTCAGCTTCTCCACAGGTGCAGCGCCTGCCCCATGCCGGCCCTAAGCCCCAGCCGTCTCCCCTTCCCCGATGAGCAGCTGGGGAACGGCTAAAGGAGATCCCCGGCTCCCTCGCAGCCCCCAGCCTCATTACCTGCAGCGTGGAGAGGGGTCCACTTCCTCTTCCTCTCCTTCACCAGGGCGGAGGCGCCGTGGCTGGTGAGCACCTCCACGCACTCGGTGGAGCCTCTCTCCGTGGCGAGGTACAGGGCTGTCCGCCCCTTGTGGTCCCGCACGTCCAGGTTCACGAGGGTTTCTGCAAGTGTCTTCAGGGCTTCACAGTGACCATTATAGGCCTGAGGACAGAGCGGGCGACGTCACCGCAGCGTCCAGAGAGGCTGCGGCCTGCAGATCCAACCCTGGGACGGTTCTGCTGCCCCCTGTTGCGCTCCCACCCCGCTCTGCCCACATGCAGCTGAGGCGGCCGTGAAACAGAAAGAGCAAGGAGCCCCAAGTGCAAATCAAAGGGACCTCGAGCCCCGGGCTGCTGCCCCCCCCCCCTCTTTGCCCCACGCAGCTCTTTGGACAAAATGGAGCTGCTGCAGCTCTCTAGGGCACAGCAAACCCCAGCTCAGAGCCAAGTGCCCTCTGCCACCCTGGGGCTGGGCCAGCCGTACTCACAGCTAAGTGCAAAGGGCTGACTGGAATGGTGCTTTCCACATCCTCCAGGCAGTTAAAAGACATTTCCAGGAGCTGCGACAGCCAAAACACAAACAGTAAGGGCCCCCTGAAAACACGCCACCGTGGAGGCTTCAACCCACACCCTATCTACCAGCAGGCTGCAAGGCAAAAACAGAACCAACTCATCTGCCCTGGAATGATCTGAACTACAGCAGAGAACCTTCCTTAACCTCACCAAGGCCCGAGTTCTTACTCTGTGCTACCATCAGCACAATGGCTGCTGAGAATCCCCGAATCCCCCGAATTTAATCAAACCCACTTCCCTTCCTCCTGAACAAACAGCACTGCAGTGCTTCCAATGCACACAACTGGACGCTGCAAGGCTCCAGAGGTCCTCGTGGGGGCCTCCCCCACCCCCCGCAGCACACAAGGCTTTGCTTTACTCACCAGTTCAAGGTTCTGCCTGTTGCCATACGCAGCTGCATAGTGGACAGCTGTGTATCCCTGCTTGTCCCGGAGGGATGGGTCAGCACCATTATCCAGCAAGAACTCTAAACAACTGCAGTAAGGGAGAGAAAGGGAGATCAGGAAAACAGTGAGAGTAGAGAAGCATGACCAGGAAGGGACTTCCTGCTCGATCTGAGAGCAGATGCTGTATGAAACCCTGCTGGACACAGAGCGCATGCAGACGCCCTGGGGATCAGGGCTGGGGCGATGGCCAAGGTTTGCTCAAGAACCAAACCAGCAGGTGTTTCCTCATTGCAGCTCAGCTCAGCGCAAGCAGGAGTGAAGTATTGCCCTGGGAAGGGGTGAACAACAACCAGTGTCCAGATGGGGCTGCACGGACTCACAAGAATGCCTCCTTCATCCTGGACTCCTTCAGTGGCTCCTCATCAGTGTCATGGCTGTTTCCTGAATGAGTCTCTGCTCTGAAGGGTCAGAAGCTGCCATCAGTTTGCTGACCATCCCCCTCCCCCCTCCTCACAAGGCACGGCTTGGGGAGGCGGCCAGGGCACAGCAGAGCACCCCCCCGCTCAGGGCACACGCTCACCTCCTGTACGTGTCCGAAGCAGCAGCATAGTGTAAGGGGGTGCAGCCTTTACAGTCAGCCTCATTAATACTGGCTCCTGCAGTGACCAGCGTCACTGTACACTGATAGCTGCCGTTGGCAGCTGCGTAGTGCAGTGGAGTCCTGGGGAGGGGAAAGGAGAAAGGGCTGAGGAGCACCGATTGTCACAGGGAAACCTGGGGGCATCGGCAGGACCCAGGGAGATGCCCACCGCAGCTGCCGAGCTGCACCTCACTTTTGGGCAGCTGCTCTGTTTAAAGAGCCAGAGCCAGACTCCTCAGGGAGATGTGGGGCTAAAGCAGCAGCGTATGCAGGGCACTACATCCAAAAGCCTCCCTGGAGGCAGTGTTTTGTCTTCTGACACCTAGCCCAAGCCATCAGCCTGCCCAGATTCAGCTGGCATCACCTCCTAAACCCCAGCTCAGCCCCACACTACTGCTGGGAGGCTGTAAACACCACACGCAGACCTGGGAGAAGCCCAGCCCAAACCCAGCTGCTGCAGAGGAACCACCTTTGCAACGCCCACAGCACGCTTACCTTCCGAATTTATCTCTCCTCCTCAAGTCAGCACCGCTGCTCAACAGCAAATTAAGACATTCAACGTTCCTACAGGAGTTGGGGAGACGAGTCAGACACAGACGAGAAGGCAGCGCAGCAGCAATGCTGACTCCTCCTAGTTGCAGACAAGGCAGCTGCACTCCTACCCACACAGCCTGGCTGTGCGGAGCTCAGCACAGCCCGTCAGCTGCAGCCACGGCTGGATCTGCTCGTGCAAAGCCCTCCAGCAGCATCGCCCCCGTGCCTCCTGCACTGCCAGCGCCGCCCTGCACGGCCAAACGGCACCAGGCGTTCACATGGCCAGCTGAGCCCTGCTGCTCTTCTGGCATCACACTGCGAACCCTTCCCAACCTCGGCCAAGCGAGCACTGCAGCTCCATGTTAAATAAAGGCCAACAGTCCCAGGGCGCAGAGGCTGGGATGCATCAGAACCAACACCCCCACACGGCCCAACGGCGCCCCATCCGCTCCTGGCCCTCAGCACACATCCTGACCTCCTGCCCAGGGCCCAGCGGCAGGCAGCGCTCAGCTCACCCTCCGGAAGCAGCAGCGTGGAGGCAAGTCCTCCCAAGGTTGTCAGGTGTGTTGATATCAAAGCCTGCAGACAGCACGTGCTCATTGCTCAGCGAGGAGACGATGCTGTACAACTGACCTGCGGGGCAGAGGGCAGGGAGTCAGGGCAGCGCAGCTCTCAGCCTGAGGATCCCCCGCAGGCAGGGGCAGCCCGGCCACTCACCTGAGGAAAGTAGCTTACGACAACAGTCTGAAAATCCAAAGAGAACAGCTAAGTGCAGAGGGAACATGTCGTGGATCCCACGCCTGCAGGAGAGGGGACGGGCTCAGCACGGGCCCTCCTCGCATCCTCCAGCCCAAGGAGGCAGGGAAGGGAGAGATCTTCCTTACCTTGCAGTGTCAGCACCATTCGTCATCAAAGTACTAATTAGCAGCTCGTGGCCATATCTAGCAGCAACGTGGAGGGGGGTATTGCCGTATTTGTCAGCACAGTCAATCTCACTGCCTGGAAAGGGAAAGCCGAGCGTTACCAGCGGATCTCTGCACTCTAATCCCAGGAAGCAGCCTTGCTCTGAAAGAGGCTCAGGCTGAGCCGGGAGCGAAGAACACGGGCCAGGCTGCTCTGGTGGCTGTGTCCCATCTCAGGACGCGGCTGACAACTCGAGTCCATTCTGCATCATGCAGGACAGCTGCAAGCTGCTGTCTGTGCTGGGAGCCCACCTGCCAGCCTGGGGCATCACATCTCCCCTTGTCCCCCAGGAAGGGACGCGTTCAGCCCCCTGGGGGAGGCACTGAGCAGCACAGCAGCAGGATGGGCAGCAGCCACTCACCATTCTGAATGAGGATCTGCGAACGCGTGAACCGCCCGTGGATGGCAGCCATGTGCAGGGGGCTCTTCCCTTCCTTACTCTGCAGAGAGCAGAAGCGAGGTTGCGTCAGGCTCCTGTCACCACCCCAAGCTCCCCCCGGGGCAGCGGACCCCCGCATCCCCACCCAGGGCTCAGCCCCTCGGCACCAGACCTGAAAGTTGACGTCGGCCCCGTTGTTGACGAGGAGCTCCAGGCACAGGGCCCCGTTGGTGGAGACAGCAGCAAAGTGCAGAGGGGTGAAGCCCTTCTCGTTAGGCTGATTGACGTTGGCGCCGTAATTAACCAGTTCATTGGCCACGGCATCTTGGCCCATGTAACAGGCGATGTGAAGTGCAGTGTTACCAAAGGAATTTGGTTCGTCGATCTGCGGGAGCAGCAAACCCAGAGGATTCGGGGATTGAGAAGGAAAAAAAAGGGGGAAAAAAGGGGCAGCCACAAAGCAGCCCACGCTGCCAGGCTGCCCGGCTCCCAGGGCCCGGCTGCGGCCTCACCTCCACACCCAGCCGCAGCAGGTGACGCACAACCTCGATCTGCCCGCTGGCCGCCGCCGTGTGCAGCAGGGTGTAGCCCTTCTTGTCCTTGCACGCCACGTCGGCTCCCCGGGCCACCAGCAGCTTCAGAACTTCCAAATGCCCTGTGGGAAGGAGAGGTGAGAGCCCACGGGCACAGAGCGCGCTGCGAGGCGAACCCACGGGGTGACGCCTTCTGGGGGACCTACCCAGAAAAGCCGCCCAGTGGATGGGCTGGCGATCCTTCTTGTCGCAAGTACTCAGGCTGGCCCCTTTGTTTAACAGCAGGTTCACCATCTGGGTGGAGAAGAGCAGCGTGAGGGGCCTGGCTGCCGTCCCACCCCCCCGGCGCCACAGGAGCAGCCCAGACGCGGGAGGGGACGCGGCGAGGAGCCTGCACCCCTGTGCACCCACCTCGAGGTGGCCGCTGTGCACGGCGTGGTGCAGCGCTGTGCGGCCCGTGCGGTCGGCGACATTGACAGTGCTGAGCAGGGGGATGATGGCCTCCACACACTTGGTGGCCCGGTTGGCAGCGGCGACGTGCAGAGGCGTTTGCCAATACTTGTCGCGGGCATTGACGTCTGCCGAGTGCTTCAGGAGGAGGTGAAGTGCTTTCTGGCAGGAGCAGAGGAGAGGAGAGCTCCAACTCAGCCTGCTGGAGCCACAGGCTCATCCCACCCGAGCACAGCTGTGAACTGCAGCCGCATGGGGGTACTGGCACGGGAGAAACGCATCTGAGCCGCGGGACGTAACAGAATGAGGGCTGGTTTGTGACCAAGGAGGTGCAGAGCACCAGAAGGACAACGAGCGGAACCCATCGAGCTGCACTCCACAGCGATTCCCTTTTTGCTGACAGCAGCCGTGTGCTGCAGCCCCACACTGGCAGCACCTCCTGCCTCCTGGACATGCAGCGACTTTCCACACGCTCCCAGCCCGCAGCAAACGCCTCTGGCAGAGCTTTGCGCTCACGCATTTCATCTCCTGCCTGCTGCCAATCAGACAATCCACAAGGCCAGCTGATGTGTGGTAACTTGCCCTGCGTGTCAGATTCAGAGCTGCTGAACCCTGCCTCCAACCAACACGGCAGCAACGTTCCTTGCTCTCAAGTAACTCAAAACGGGACGGAGTTAAGCGGGATGAAGTTAAGCCCACGAAAGCCAAATGTCAGGAAACCTTTCCAATAAGATCTCCTGGAATCAGCTCCGAAAAGAGAGAGGGAGCCCCATTATCCGTCAAAGGAACATAAAGCTGGATTAACCAAAGCCCTTGGGAAGGGGGAAAAGGCAGGAGGGCAGCGTGGGGAAAACACGCGCTGGCTCCTGAAGGAGGCAGGGAGCAGACAGGATCTTCCCCAGCTCTCATTTGAAGCATCTGCGTTACGAGGCCACCCTCTCCCCACTCCAACAGAACCATCCGAGCCAAAGGCAGGCAGGACAGCAGAGGAGCAGCGCTCCTCCTCCCAGCAGCACGTACCTCGTTGCGAGAAGCCGCAGCGCGGTGCAGCGGGGTGAGCCAAACAGTGTCCTTTGCATTGACATTAGCACCTGAGGAAGAACGAGAGCAGAGGCTCAGGAACAGAGGTGCCCAGCTGCTGCCACGCGGGGCTCCTGCAGGCACAAGCAGCAGCCCTGCTGCAAAAGGGGGCTGTGCTGAGCTTCAGGCGAGGACAGAGCCCAGGAAAAGCCACATCCCTTAAGGCTCTGCCAGCTCCCCCCCGAGCCAAACAGCCGCAGCAGAGCCCCGGAACGCAGCTCTCTCCTGGCTGGGTGCCCTCCTCTGTTAGTTCAGCTCCACGCTGCTTCGCCATCTGAACAAACCTCTTAGGATTACAGCGACGTTTCCTAATCTTTCCCTGCTGCAATCCCACTGGCTTAATTACCAGCACAGGGGAGTTTGGAGGGTGACCAACCCCTCCTGCTCTGTACCTCCCAGCGCAGAAGGGATCAGAACGACTCCCTCAAGGCAGCCCAGTGCTGAGCAAAACGCTTGAGCCCCAGCCCTTACCTGACAGTATGAGGAGCTCGAGGATTGCAACATCTCCTATGTAGGCAGCAGCATGCAGAGGTGTTCGTCTTTCTTGGTCCTGAGCAGGGATGGAAGGAGCTGCCATCAGCTCTGAGAGCAGGGGAGTGCTCAGCACAGCCCCTCCTGCCCAGCGCAGCACAGCAGGTGGCTCAGGGCACACAGTGGGAAGCTGCTCCAAAGGAGCCGCCTCCCCCCACGGGAACCACAAGCAGCTCCTGCAGCCTGCTGGAGGCCAGCGAGGCTCGCGAAGCCCCTCTCCAAGCCTTGGTTGGATTAGCTGAAGAAAAAACACCTTTCACTTCTGTTTGCTCAGGGCTGGGCCCTGCGCTGCCTCTGCCTCCAGGCACTCAGCTCGGGTGCTCCTGGGGAAGTGCCACGTACCAAAGCTGGGAAGCAAGCAAGGGGAAAGCTGGAAGAGCACAACTCGCTTCCAGTCCCACATTTTGTGCTGGGGGGGAAAAGTAATTGTTTTTCAGAGAGCTAAGCACTGGGAAATGGGGGCAGTCTCATTTTTTGCAGCACGCTGAGCTGGCACGGCCAGGCAGGAGGATGTGAAAGCGAAACTCAGCTGGCAGGTCAGCAAACAAGCAACAACATCTCTAAACCTGCACGCCAGAAGGAAATTACGCATCAACAATCGCGGTTTTATTCCCTCGGCAGCTGCACGAGAGCCCTGCAAAACAATCCCAACACTGACAGCGAGGACGAGGCGCTGCCCGGTCCCTGACCCAGGCAGGCACAGGGAGAAGCCCTCAGCCCTTCACACGCAGACCGTGCCACCACGCTCTGCCACAGGCAGCAGGCAGTGCTACAGGGGCGGCGCAGAGCCCAGCTCCGCAGCCCAGCAAGGTGGTGAAGCAGAACACTGCTGCGCTCGTGGCTCAGCGCTCGGGCTGGGAGCGTGGCGACTGCTGAGCCGGCGCTGGTCCAATGGAGGAAATGGGGTGTGCACCAAGGGGGGACCCACGGGGCGTCCCAGAGAGGAGCAGCACCTTCCGGCACCCACCAGGCTCACTCTGCTTTGCTGACCAGCTCCAATCTTCCTCCCTCTACTGGGAATAACCTTACGGTTGGGTTCTCGTCAAGCCATTCTGGGTCAGCATCCCAAAGAAGTAAAAGGTGAAGCGGCGGCGTGGCAGAGCTGAGCCCCCACGGGAGCCCCCCCCCTCAGCCCACCGCCTCCCAGTCACGCTCTGCGCCACAGGAGGCTTCAGGAAGAGCTCTCCAGGGACGGATGGGAGCCCCGTCCTTCCACACACCCCATTTTACACAATGGAGGCCAAGGGACGAAACACAGCTAACAGCGGCAAAATCCTGAATCGACTGGAGCCCCCAGCTCTGAGCTCCCTGCAGAGCCCACCCCAAGCCCCCCAGCAGCCCATGGCCCCCCAGCGCTGCTGGGAAGCGCGTCAGGAGCCGGGTGGGGGCCTGAGCCGCAGGCTGGGCAGCACTCACCAGTACGTTGATATTCTCCTTCTGATTCAGCAGCGACCGCACTTCCTCTACATCGCGGTTGAAGATGGCTTGGACCAGAGGAGGCTGCAGAGAGAGGGATGGGAGGGAGGTGAAGGAGGGAGACGGAGCCCTGAAAGCTGAGCGCGGTCTGTGCGAGGAGCAGGACGGGGTGCTGAGCAGCTCGACCCGCACCAGGGACCGACCTCAAAGCCAGCGGAGGCGGTTCTCATGGCCTGGTATCTTTTAGCAACAGGGATCGATGCATTCGTTTAAAACCAACCTATTACTTCAGCAAAGGGAACCCAGCAACCATGGCTCTACAACTCTTCGTTTCAGCTTCCATGGGTGAAAGTCTTGCCTTCCTCAATAATTCTGCACCAGGGGCACCGTAGAATACTTTTATCTTTTGCCTCGATGGCTTTGCCTCACAAGAAGCCCAGGAGTCATAATAGAACACTTTTATCACCAGCTGCAAGGACACCTTCCTCAGTGCCACGCACCCTGCTCTAAAAGCTGCTCGCTGCGGCCTAGCAAGCAGTGGGAATTGCTTGGGAAAGGAAAAAGCCACCGAAGGGCCTCAGGAAAATGGGGACGGAGGAGGTGGGCACTCGACCACCCTTCACAGCACTGAGCGTGCCCAAAGGGATGCGAGAGTCCTTGGAAAAGAGCGAACACGTGTGCCCATACAGTGCACAGACAGCCTTAGCTGTTCAGATGCGGAACCTGAACTCTGAGAGGCTGCTTGTTTGTCACGGCGCCTGGTCTGCATGGCGAGGAAGAAAGGCGTGCTGCTTTCTAACACTGCACTGGGGTTACAGAGTTTTCCTCCTGGATTCCGGCTGACAGCTCGGATGGGTTTTGGACGGGGAACGCTCAGAGGGTGGCTTAGAAAAGCTCCCTGCTATGGAGCCCAGGCAGCGGTGCTGAGTGCAGGACGGTAAACTGCAGGGTGCCCAGACTCCGCTCAGTGGGAGATCTCGGATTTTTCACCGCTCTCCCATCCCTAAAAGCAGCGCCGCATACCCCGCGTTTGGTGGGGCAGCAGCCACGCAGCCCAGCGCTCTGCGCCCAGCACCGCCGGCTCCCGCAGCATCCACCTGAGAGCCGTCAAAGCCGGGCAGCGCATCCCGGCTCGGAGGCAACGCGTGACTCATCCCGTCGGAATGCGGCACACGGCATCCCTCGGTTCGACGTTAAAAAACACAGAAATGCGATAAAAACGGGCAGGCGCCGGCAGAGGCACCGCGCCGTCTCACCCACCGCCCCCCGCGGGGCAGCGGAACCGCTCCGGTGACCGGAAAAATAAAACAAGTTCTCGTGCAGCCGCAGCCGCGCGCCCGCTTCCCCCGCCAGCCTTTCCCCTCCCGCGGCCGCGACGCTCCGCGAGGATCGGACCCAGCCGGGCCCGGGCGGAGCCCGCGGGGGAGCCGGGCGGGAGTGGAAGCGGCAAAGGGCCACGTGCGGGCGGCGCTGCGGGATCCGCGGCCGTCCCAGAGCTGCGGGCCCGCGGCCTCCCCCGG